ACGGGCCGGCTGGCCGTGGCCGCCGTGTACGTGGGTGGCGTGGAGGATGTGTGCTCAAACGTGCTCCGGGACGCGATGGTCCAGTAAAACAGTCTCGGCTTTTCTTCTGGGAAAGCTCCTTTAGCTCCGAAGTTCGGCTGGGCGGATGCACCTTTTGAAAAGCAGAGACATACACGGGCAAAACCGAACGTATTAAAAATTCTTAAATCATGAATGTGGGGAAGCGGTCCGTATGGACCGATGTGTGGGTTTTGTCCTGCTGCGTGCTTTGAATTGCTAAAGTTGTTATGAGTTGTCTAAGTAAAGTAAATCAGGCGGCCGAAAAGTACATTTTACATTTAGGTGGGAGGAACGTAAAGTGTAAAAAGACCAAAGGATACAGCCTAGTGACTGATTTTCAAAAAGTGTGATTTGAGTCGGTTTATTTTACGCAACAGCTTTACTTTTTCTTGCCAGACAGAAATCTTACATACCTCAGATACATAAGAAGTACTAATAGCTATAGCGACTGTAACATTACAAGGACAATAGCCTAACCTAGTTTTAGTATGTGGTTTTTGCACATCATCACACACAGGGGTTTACTATAGCCATGGGAGCCTGTTGGCTGCCACAGAACATAATAGCAGCTAGAAGAAACGTCTGATGCCAAACTACTGCTATGCAGTCAGATTGCCCTTGATAAAATATGACACATCATAAGAAACAGCAGTTTATGGAAATGTGAAGTAACTGTAAATCGGTTTATAACGAACAATTGCCGTGATACATTTAGAAAAATTAAATGTGAACCTTTTTTAACTTGCAACTATCAAATTAATTTAAACATGAGAGAATAAAAACACATAGGCATACGTGACTGCACTTTATATTTAGTTTGAAGTTCTTGAGAGTGTATTTACTTTCTTTAGAGAAGGCCTAAGAACTGTTTCCTACTGCATTTCAATGTACATTTTAGGTCTTAATTGGAAGGTAAGTACTTCACAGGAACTGTTGTCACTTTGCATGGGTGGAGGCTGGTAATTCCATTCCTCGTTTATATAAAATATAGTTGTTATGAAAAGCTTCGTGGTTGTGACTTGAACTGTAATTGCCATACGTTATGCACCATTCACTGGAATAAATTGTGTGCAATGACAACATATATCTAGAAAATATGCATTAGAGAGAAAGATCTGTTATGTCAATTATTCCATCACTGAGCATGGATTATATCAGAAAGTGATTTTTGTTTTATCCAGACTACTGTAAAATGCCTTAAAGATTAAAGCAGGTAGATGTGCATTTTGACACAAACCAGAATGTAAATTGCAGTGAAGTGTTGCACACCCTCAGCTAACTGCGCTTCCCATGGTTTCCTTCTCCAACAGATTGGGAAACAGAATGCCATTTGATGGAGCCAGTGAACCTGACCATGCCCACGGGTCATTAAAGTCTGAATCAGACATTTTGCAGAACACACTACCTGAAAATGAGAAATTCTATTTTGATCTCTCCAGAATTATTGATAGGTGAGTTTCTTTATTATCATAAATACAAATGATGATGCACTATTTGAATTATGCCAAAAGATAGGTCACATTTTCAAACTGAGAATTAGGAAATTACAGAAAAAAACCCCGCACAGCCTCTGGTTGATGACTGGTAGCAGTAGGAATGTCTGCAGAAATGTTGATTGCATTGCCATTCTGGCATGATGAATTCATTCACTTCCCAGAAGGGCTAAAAAGTATATTGTGAAAATCTGGAAGTTGTTTTATGAAATTAGCTTGATTTAATATGTACAATAGATAACTTAAGGAAAGCAGTATGTTTACAAAATGAAAGTTATCAAAATGATATGAACCCAGGTTGTATTGTAGAGTTTATTTATTGTCCATTTCAGAAATGCAAGGCATGCTGATGGAATTTTCACCAGTGTCTACAGCCATCTTTTGGCTAAACTTGCTGTGAAGAGATATCTGCATTCGCTTATTAGAAAACGAGTTAGGTGAGGTGACACTTACATTAGGTAGAGTTTTTGCCTAGGTGGCTTCAATGGCAATTTTTTACCGTTCTGTATCTAAGTTCTCATTTTTGCGATTTAGAGATAATGAAAGAAAAACTGATATAATAATGGGGGACCTGAAAATCCTATATAACAACTTAGTGGTAGTCGTTACTAAATGAATATGTTGCCATTTACTCCTGATACAGCTGTGAGGGTAGACCAACAGACACCGCACATGGCACTGATAATAAACACTGGCAATATTGTAATGATTATCACACCAATTTGCTACCTTTTTTATCTGATAGTGATAGCTTGGTGGATGAATGACAAAAGTACATACAAACTTACATAACATCAGGGGGATGCTCAATGAAATTAAGAAACAAGAAGTTTACAGTGAAAACAAAAAGGAATGATTTTTTTTTTCCTACTGTAGAACGTATTGTCAGATGTTTGGGAGATCTGTATTATAGAAGGATTTGAAAAAGAATGAGGCAAATCTCTAGACGTGGGGTCTGAATGCAACTTCCAGACCAGGATGCGGGATGGTGGGAAGGATCACTTCCCTTGTTTGCTTATCCCTAAGCAGCATCTACTGGGCATTCTAGGGAACGGAATAGTAGAATGCTTTGGTCTGACGCAATATGAAAGTTCCTTTGAGCGCCTACTTCATATGCTCAAAAGCTGACTGAAAGTTAGGTCCTGCATTTATGTCAATGCTGTCTTTGGTCCAGAACATACGGTGCCAGTTTCTCGTACGCTATAAACTAACATAGATCATTTAAAGCAGAACACACTGAGGCTTCCCAAGATCATGAACGAAAAATAGGCCTTCAAGTTTGGATTTCACAAGGTGTGTTTTGTCTCCTGACACCTTGTTAAAACAAGCATTTGTAGCTATGTATGTGATGCTACACTCTTCCTTTCCTCAGAGGTAGGCTCCATCCTCACTGAGTGCAATATGAACAGTGACAGGTCCTTTAAGAGCTTACTGTGATTTAAACCAGTCTGCGCTTTGGCAGTGTATTAAAATATACCTGTGCAAGTGACAGAAATTAGAATAAAGTCAGTTTATAGAAAAGAGTAACCTGGGCTATGAGAACAGACAGGAAGGAGTCATGAAATCCACACTCAGCCATTTGATCCTGCAGAACTCCTGGGACAGGGACTCTAGAAATCATTGAGTGTGGATCCTAATTGCATGGCCCATGGCAAAGTCGAGCAGGAGAAAGAAATCAGTGGAAGGGGTGTCCAAAAAGTCTGAACACTGATCCTTAGAGTTTGAGTTTGATCCTCAGAATTTGAATTTGATCCTCATTACTAAAAGAGGTAGTAAGCAATACCAGCAGTGGCTCCTTTTCGACAGAAGATCCAAAGTCATAGTTGAAAATGAACTCTGAAATGAAAATTTGATTTTATTAAGCTAATCAACATTGTAAATTTTGTTTCACTCATTTAATGGTATCTTCCTTTAAACGGATATCATCTATTAATTTTTTCTTTGTAATTGTTGTATTGCCAGTTCCCAGGACAGTCCCGTCAAACGCCACTCTGATGCTGTCTTCACTGACAACTACAGCCGCTTTCGAAAGCAAATGGCTGTGAAGAAATACTTAAACTCAGTTTTAACTGGAAAAAGAAGGTACTACAAGAAAGCAAATATATATTGTTTCCATACTTTTATGGTATTAAGACAGAAAAGATTTATACCCACATATATGCACAGAGAGACAAACAAAAGGCAATGAACATTAATGACTTTATAACATAGTTTATAACATGTTTTTCAAATACAGACAGTGTTTTCTTCCAGACTGGAACAGACACTACAATCAGATTAGACTAAAAGACTAAAGAGGAAACAGCATCTGGCAATTTTAAAAAGCTTCTGACAGATTTTTAAAATGGTTTAATTTATTAAAAGGGCCTCTTAAAGAGAAATCCTCAGAGCTATTGAACATGAACAAAAATTTTGTAAAGAAAATGCACTATTTGTGAAAATTTGCTTTTAAGTAAGCACACAAAATGAAAATTTAGAAGTCCCAGAAAGACCTAATCAGTATAGGTGAGAAGCGCCAGCATATGTTTTTGTAAAAGTTATATTCTGTTTGTATATTCACTCATTTAGACAAGTGCTTTTAAATTATCATGTCTTTTCACCTGTTGAACACACTATTTCATGTGATTTATAACGCTTTGGTATCAGTGTAACAAAATGTGTAATAGCTACGGTTAGAAGAAGGCTTTGCTTGCTTGTTTGCTTTTTCTTCTGAGGGTAATAAAACTTGTTTCTGATCCACAACAGCCAGGAAGAGCTAAACCCTGCCAAACTTCGAGATGAAGCAGAACTTCTTGAACCTTCCTTTTCAGAAAACTATGATTCTGTAGATGAGCTGCTGAGCCACATCCCATTGGTATGCCCAGATTTTCTTTCCTCTCACTTTCTGTTACTTGACTTGACCTATAAAATGAGATTAATCATACACAAAGTGTGGCCTATCAGAAAAGCAGAATCACCCAGGAAAGAGTCATGTTCTGTGAAACGCTGCATAGTTCTATAGGGATTGTATCTGAACATAATAATCATTTTAATAACAATAATTAAGTTATCCCATGATTGCTGTTATTGAATATTCATAATTAAATGGCACTGTTAATAATGCACCTAACTCACTTGGGTATTTCAACTTGTGTGCACTGCAGCATAAAACTAGAATTGACTCATTTTTAATTACAAAGATTATTATTTCTTCCGAGAACAAACTCAAGGATATTTCTTTTAATTAAAAAAAAGCTGCACATTTTGTTTAAGATCTATTTCATAAGAAGGGAGCTGCCCCTAGAACTAAGAGGATCAGCAACATGAACCCTAAGCATTAAGAAGGCACTCGACTCCCATAAGATGTGCACTACTATTTTTCTAAAATCATTCACAAACATGCTTCTTTGGTTTACTGAAATGTAAACCCTTCTATATCACAGCACTTGCAGGCATGTAAAATTGAAAGGGTAACATAGAAACGAATTGGGTTTGGTCTTCTCAAAAGTGTGTTATGAAACTGATGATGAGATGGCTTTTGGCATTCAGCTGCGTCTCAACCAACTCTCAACTGCGAATAAGAAAAAAGGCTACTCTTGAAGACAACTTTTTTCTTTTTTTTGGGGGGGTGGTGGGGGTAAAAAGAAAAGGCATTTCTCCAAACTGTTTTTTCCTTTCAAGACTGAAAGAAGATGTTCTTTTCCTTTCTGCAAATGTTGCAGTTCCTCTAAAGTTCCCAAAGATTAGAAAGGTCATAAACTGCTTGGGCCTCAACGAACAAAATAATTTGTAAGTGATGGATTCAGGAAAGAAATGTTCTTTCTAGACAAAATTATTGCAAAAATATCTGCTCCTGGATTTTGCACCTTCTAAGACTTCTGGCATTGATGAAGTGAGAGAGAGTAGTGGTGCAGTGGGTCGTGGGTGTCTACCTGGAAATATTTTCAGTCCTTTCCTTTTTTACGGATGGTACTGATGATCCAGATCTCCCTATGGGTGATTCGCTTATTCGCTATTGGCTGTTACCGGTCATTTTGTAGCAGTGCCCAGTTGCTGATGTAGCGTGCATCAACAAACCTGAATTTGTGTAACCACTTCAAGGACACAGTTGTTTTCAAAGTGAGCTGTTCTGCACTGTATGCTGACATGCAGTAACATTTTTGCTTAATCCTTCAACCTTTCTTCCTCATCCTGCAGCCTTGTCTCCTGGCTGTTAATGCCCACCAAGCTCCTGTGAATCGCTCCACCTCGTGCTTGTCAGCCCCAAGCGCGGCAATTGTTTTGTAGCAAGTGTTACTTGCTGTCCGCTGTCTGCTTTTATACACCTTGTGATGCAACTGCTTATGAAAATGGCTTTTAAAACATATTTCTCCTTTGCTTTTCAGGGCCTCTGAAGGACACCTGGTAAAGTCTATGACAAGAACAAGTTATTTTTGAGTTCCACATAGTATTTCAAAGAGATGACTTTAGTCATCAAACCAGAACAAATATGTTGTGAAGTGAAAGTTGTGATATATTTGTTTCTTATGTAATAAAAGTTGATATTTACATTGTAAATATTACTCTAGAGTTCTCTACTGAAAGCTGTACATATGGATGCCAGTTTAACTCATGAGAAGTCTGTGAGTCCATATGCTGTAAATCCTTTACTTCAATAAATTCATTTGAAAATGAGTGTGCAGCTGAAAAGACCCCATCATTACTAATTAATTGGCTTATTTTAGGTGTGGGACAATTTCAGATAAGCCTCTATAAGTATATGGATACATTTCCAGATAACTTCATAAGAAAGTGTAAAAGCGTGAGGAAAAGAACGTGCAAAGGTTGTAAAACCGCATTACAAAGATCTCTGAAGGTTACTGCCAAGCAAAAGGGAATGCTTTTCTAGCAGCTTACCAAGCAACTAGAGAAAATGAAAAAGCATTAAATATTATTTGACCTCTACAGCATCTTACCTTCTTGTTCACATTTTAATACTTCATGATATGCAAATAATATTAAGTCCAGAAATGTATCCTTTATTTTCAGTCATGTTTCAGATGCTTTGGAGCTGACCAAGCATGCTAAGAAGAATGCTGTCCCTTGATTTGTTTGGTGCCTAAAGTCACCAGTTATTCTACGTTTAATTATCTGTAGCTTTGATGATGAAACTGTTTCTTATACATAAAATAGACATGAAGACGCTTTACAAGTTTTTCAGAATGAATGTAATTTACAGAATATGCAGACAATAAACCATTTTATTATCACAGCAAACTATTACTGGTTTAAAACATGCTACAGGTACCTGGACCAGTAGAGGTCCCAGCAAGTGCTGTCTCTACTATAGTAAGAGAGGAAGATACTATTTTTTAATTAAGGTATACTATGTTATATTAGAAAGAAAAGCAAGTGAGCCTCCAGTCCCTATTTCTTTAGCTTGCTATCATTGCAGCTTAGTACGGAACTGGAAATTTGCAGCTGATTCTCTGTTGCTGTGAATCAGAATTTGGTTGTATTTTATTAAAATTGCAGATTTAACCAATTAGATCATTTTTCTAAAGGATCATTTACTGTTGTAAGAACTGATAGTTCCATTGCAGTAACCAAAGTGTGTGGTACTGCGTGCACTACATATGACATGCATATTCAGGCATGGTACCAGCCATGAGACTCCCATGACTCCCCTCCCACCTCCTAGAAGGAAATGAAATTTGAAGTAGAAAAACTTATCAGACCTACTTACAAGTTCAATTTGGAATTTCAAGTGTATTTATATATCATACATATGCACACATAGGCAGTGATAAAACTGATTTACAAGTTTCACTTACAAGTTTACTGTTCCCATTTAGAAGGAAGTTTCAAACATGATAAAATTTGAGATTTAGGAAGACTAGTTCTCATAAATATGTAGCTTTCTGATTTGCAATTTTTTTGAATATTGGCAACTGCATGCCAAAAGAAAACCAGCTTGCACAGATCGGATGCTATTATTGCTATTTCTATCAAGCCTTGACAGAATTTATTTTAGCCTAAGCCAATGAACAGTTCACAAAAATTAGATGCAATTTTGAAGTCTTCTCTTGAAAAGTCATCTTCTAATGGTGGTCCACTCTCAATTCTTATCTTATTATGAAAATCTGAGTGCAAAAGTGGCTTTGGAAATACTTGAAGGATACTAACAGGTTGATGCTGTCCTACTTAATTGGAAATTTTCTTCAATGTAGTTTAAACTTTGTTAGGATTCCTGTGATAAGTAATCTTTTAAAAAGTAAGTGAAAAAAAATAACCAGAAGCAAAGCTGTATACGGTCTTCATACACAGAACTTTTTGTTTAAATATACATAATGTTTATTCACTCAATTTAAAGTAACAAAAATTGGAGTGATGAAACTTTTCACTCCACAGTTCCAGAAATCTTTATTTGTTTTCCTAAATTTGTTTTTTTTATTTGTTTCCAGTTTACCAATAAGATGCCTGATGGAACAGCTTGTTTTCCATGTCTACTGTGTAATCTCCCCAATATTTTGTTCTCCATAGAAAACTGCAGAACATTAGAACATGTATTTTCTTTGTTACAATGGCGATGGAGTGGGTAGCAGAAAAAAAGGGACTCTTATTAGAAAATCACATATATATATATATTATAAAATACAAAACTAATATTCTCATTTTAATAACTAAAATAATACTGTAATAGCTTCCTCAGAGGGTTAGCAAATAGACACAGTCTAAAAGGCATGCTAAATTTTATGTACATTTTAGTGAAACGTAGCACTAACCTCCAGAATAAGAAACCTGACTTGATATTTGTGTCAAAGGATGGCTGTTAACTTGTCATAGCAACTTTTGACATTCTATAAGATATATAGGGCCCAATTCATACATTCAGACTAGTTAATTGTGAAAGATGTAACATTATTCACCTCATCTCAACCATCAAGTGCTTATGGTAAGGTTAAATGATTAAATTGAAGAGAAAAATGCAACATTTCACTCAATGAGACAAATTATCAGTCTGTCAATGAGTCTTGACACATATCACCAATCTTAAAACTCATCTGCAAAATGTCATAACAGTGGAATCAAAGTGTAGTGTTAATTAGGAGAATGAAAGGGTCAGCTCCAAAGAGAATGTCAAGAGGACTTCTAGGAGGAAAACAAATACCTGGGAGATTTGGAAGAACATCGCTAGCAGAGAGAATGCAACCACTCCGGAGGAAGGAATAAAACCACAGGGTTATTGAGGTATAAGCTAAAGAAACATCTCACCGTGTTTCTCCAGAATCTCACTTCTAACACAGGATAGGAATAACTGCATTTGTAGCATATACAACTCATTGGGTTTTGTTTTATTGAATAGGGTTTGCTTTTCAGACCTACCCCTTGGAGCTCTTAAAGAAAGGGACAGATTCACCTTGAAGTGCATCTGTACCAGTGCTGGAAGCGGATAGTTTCTAGTCCTGAATCCATAGAGGAGATTTGCATGCATCTGTGCCTCTGTATAATCACCACCCACTCAAGAGCAACCCTCAGGATTGTGTGTAAAACCGTGAGAATTACAAAAGTTGACAAAACATTTTAAAAACATGTTAAAAGCCGATAAAAACACATTAAAAATGAATAAAACCCTAACAGCTCCTCTGATATTTTAAATGGGTTCGAGGGGCTATGAGTACTTGTTCCACCTGAAAGTCTGGGACAGAATTTTTCTTTAAAAATATGAAAATGGGTAACTTGGATCCAAAGCATAGGTATAACTTTATGTATAGGAATATTGAATTCTCCCCAAGGAAAGACCTTTTGGGAAGAGTTCATAGAATCATAGGATCATTTACTTTGGAAAAGACCTTTAAGATCATCGAGTCCAATCAAAAACCTGACACTGCCCAGTCTAACACTAACTCATGTCCCTAAGTGCAGCATCTACTTGTCTCTCAAATACCTCCAGAGATGGTGACTCAACCACTTCCCTGGGCAGCCTGTTCCAATGCTTGACAACCCTTCCTGTGAAGACTTTTTTCCTAATACGCATGTATGCAGGAACGATTTATTTGCTTGCAAGGCATTAGGGAAAGGTCGATGGAAAAGGCTGTCCCATTGCCTCCTGTGATACTACCTATGCTTTCCACTACCTCTTCTATTTTTCCTTATTTTCTCTCTCCCTCCTCCACTTACGACAAGCTTCCCTACTCTTAATACCCTCACCTTTGGCTTGCAAAGCTAGTCTATGAATGTATACCCATATTTTTGAGAGGAGCAATTGCAGCAGATCTTAAATTCACGATGCAGCAATCAAGTAACTGCCAACCTGGGTTATGGAGATGAGCATCGCAGAGAAGTGGCACAACCACATTTGCAGGAGCAACCTGTCCTGCTGACAAACAGCCCCTGACTTCCCACTGGAGATTTCCCATTTGGTTTGTGAGTGGCGCAGAAAGCTGACCTTTCCTGGGATACATTAAACAGAACTTGTGGCCTCCCCGGACTTGTGCTGGCTCAGGCAACTACAATATTTTCAGCTTTTCTCCATTTTGCTTTGGAACAGTGACAGACAAATCGCTTGCCAGGTCGACAAGCTGGTTTAGGCGAGGAGGTAGGAAACTAGACACCAGTCTTATAAAAAGTCTGAAGAATAATTTGATGCACCTTCTGGTTATGAAGTAAACAAACAGGAAAAGTTTTACTTCAGTTTTATAGACAGATACATGCAGCCCACTTAGCAGGGAGGGGAAAATATTTTCAATAGCTTAATTGATCAACATTTGTAAATAAAAATATGGCTGATTATTCAAAGATTAAGATGAAAGTGACATAAATCATACTGACACAGTGAAAAAAATAATCTAAATATCACCACTACTGTGGTGACAATATCTTCAGTAGAGCATGTTTTTGGGAAAGAATTGGGGATGTTTCTATAATGAGGGAAAAAAAGAAGAAAAAAGATCTTGTCCTTACCCGCTGAGTGACTTATTTAATATTAGATAGAGTTTTACATATGAGAATAGGTTTAAAAAAGTGTACGTGGGTTTGGTGCATACAATCCATTTTCTGGATTTTTTCTGGAACTGGCCTGGATGTTTAGATGCCCTATTTCACATTTCAATGAGACCACAGCATCAAAAGCCTAAGTTATTTCCAAACAGGCGATACAAATGCTTTTAATACATTGATCCTATTACTTAACAGTTGTCAAATCAGAATTTGCTCCTATCCTTTTTTTGGCATGCGCGGGAAAGCGGATGAGAAGCTAAAACCAGTCACTGTCTCCTGTTGTTAGATGAGATGGATCAGTGAAGACCTTTCTACTTAGGTAATGTACACAGAGCTGCAATTTTTGCTGGTAGCATATGAAAAAGCCAGGCTATTGGCTGGGTAGAACAAAGACAGAACGATCTATAGTTTTGCTTGTAAAATTGCCTGATAGTGTTGCCACTTGGCCAAATGGTAGGAGGTATCAAGTTGCTGCACATCAGCTCTTTGATAGAGAAGAAATCATTTATATGGAGCCTGGGTGGCTCCTAGTTACTTATTTTATGTACTATTGAACAGCTTTTTACTGGAAGAGGTCACAAGTATGTTTGACAGATGCCTTATCACCATTTGTTGCTATTCTAACACAGCTCTTAACATCTTTGTTTTTCAGCCAGTTGCTCTTCCCATAATCACAGCCAGAACAT